TATATACCTAACCCTAACCCTAACCCTAACCCTAACCTAACCCTAGAACCTAAACCTACCCATTCTAACCCTGAAGAACCTAAAATCTACCCATTCTAACCCTAGGACTACTTAACTCTACTATACTAAGAGACATTTTATGATTCATGATTGAAAATTCATCTAAAGGTCAAGAAGCACGAATGGATGGCGGGCTCTGGTCGTGGGGCCAGGCCTGAACGGAGCTAGGAAGTGGCCAGAAGGAATTGAAGGACAGCGCACAACCGAAATCGGACTCTGTTTCGATTTTTGGATTCTTTAATCCCTAACCCTAACCCTAACCCTAACGCCTAATCGGCTTAACCCTAATTAATTTATAATTATAATCACGAATCACATCCAAGCCTAAACCTAAGGTCTCTAAACACTAACAAACTCACGGCCTAACACCTAACAGCCAAAGAAATGAAAGGTGAAAATAATATAATAATAATATTATTATACTGAGCAAGGGTATGGCCTTGGAGTCTAATAGATACATTTTTTATTTTTGTGTATATATATATAAAAAATAACATGATCAGCATGATTATTGGATGTCATAAAATAAATAAATAAATAAATATACTAATAAATAAATATTTACAAGCATTAAAAGACGGATATATTTAAGACACAGACGCATATCAGACAACACTAATTACAGTTTGGAATGAAAAGACAGTGAAGAGGTGTTTGGAGGAAGGACTGGATTGAAATAGGACTTGAAGCGGTCAGTGGAAATGTAGGACCGTGCGTAACCGAGTGTGGACTTTGTCTGACCTTTGGTTTCTATAATCCCTAACCCTAACCTAACCTAACCTATGGACCTGAAACCTAGCCTTTCCAGCCCTTATGCCCAATGCCAGAATGAGCTAATCACAACCAATATGGTATAATCAAGCAATGATCAAGTCTTGGTTTATTTTGGGATGTAGAAGAGGACACTACAACATTGGGCAAATATTCTCCTTGACTTCAAAACTAACCTTTTGGGAATGCGATGCTGGACCAGGATTACTGGGTTGTGACCTTTTTGGGTTGCAGTCTGGTTCGCTGGCCTGGAACAAGTTCAGTCAAGAACTTCGCATTCCTAGATCTTGTTGGATCTAAATCGAGCCCTGAACCAACCCTCGCCCAAAGCCTAACCACTGTAGCCCTGTGGGCCAGACATCTTTTGGCCTGGCTCTAGATAGACCTAACCCGGTACCAAACACTGCCCTAAATTTAACCCCTATGGATTGATGGACAAATAACTTAGTTGTTTCCTATAACCTTGACCAGAAATACAGTCTGGTTCCATACGCTGCCCTAAATCCTACCTATCGTAACCATATGGGCCAGATATTTTACTTTTTCCACCATTGTGCCTAGGCCCGATGCCCAGGAGGCATCTCCCAGACAGGAGTTGATCAACAGCCTAAGTGGTATAATCTAACATGCGTGGGCCCGTGCACCTCTCCTCAGTCTCCCTATTCCAAACCTGCCTAGACGGGTGCTAGGTTGGGGGGAGCTGTTGTACTTTTCCAAAACCTAACCCTAACCCTAACCTAACCTAACCTTCATACAGGAGTGTTCGGGGAAGCATTGAGTTGGGTTTGTATACAGTTTTCAAATTTTTAGATCCTAACTCTAACGTCCATCTGCCTAGTCTGGCGCTGGATACTCCCTTCACCTTTCCGTTTAAAAGAAGTTGCAGAGGTGTGTGTGGAGTATGCAATGTTACTTCATTGAAACCATAAATGTATTCAAAATGTGACATTGCCCAATGGACAGATAGGAGGTGTCTTGTACAGGAGTCAAAAGCTTTTTCAACTGGGGAAAGTACTCGAGAAGCATAAGCAATGGGTCGCAAATTTTCCTGTACTTCTTGAAGGAGGACGGCTGAAAGAGCCTCCTCCGTTGCAGCTGTCTGCAAAATAAATGGTTGTGTTCTGTCTGGATTGCGTAAGGCTGGAGCTTCAAACAATGCCACTTTCAGCTTTTCAAAGGCTGTCTGATGATCGGGACCCCAATCTAAAGAATAATTTTTCTTCTTTTTTCCTGAAAGAAGATTGTTCAGAGGTTTTGCAATATCTGCGAAGCCTTCAATGAATTCTCTGCAAAATCCCACTATACCTAAAAATGACCTCAAAGCTGTTACTGATACTGGAACTGGGAGTCTCTGAATAATTTCCACCTAAAAGAACGCCAATATTACAAAATATAACATTAAAAAGTGTATAAATCACTCGTTTTTCTAAAGAAACATTGTCCAACAGCGACACCAGCAGGTAAAGTTACAGTGGGAGTCTGCGTCTCTCTCGCCTCCCCTGAGCCCATTGATTTTTAACAGATCAACTAAAGCATGCCGTAAGTTTGGTGGGGGGTAATTGAGAATGAATGGGGAAAAATCACAAGACAGGAGACAATGCCTCCATCGCGATATGATTGGATCTGACTGGTTATGTTCGGCTGTGATTGGTTCATGCGATAAATCCCGCCTCTTGTGTTCATGTGCATTTCGCATTCGCGAATCAGTCTGAATGAAATAATATAATGGCGTTAAAGGGATAGTTCACCCAAAAATGAAAATTCTGTCATTCACTGAAGACGAAGAGCTTTTTTTCTAATTCAGGTGAGGAGTAGGCTTATCTCACTAAATGGAAGCAAGCTGATTATAGTCAGCCTTCTCTAGTTATTTATTTTATTAATAGCCTACTTATTTTAGTTAAGTGCTTAAATTGTAAATATGCATTTATTCAATTATTTTATTTAGTGCATTTGTATTTTGTTGTTTTTGTATATAGTTTTGCAATAAAAGCATATCAACCAGGTTCCAGAAATAATCACTGAGGGTGCTTCTGAAATGAGTGAGGGTGCTCTAGTCTTAATGCACATTTTCACATATTTTGTCCCGTCTGTTGCTATGGTTATCACTGTGTCAATCACTGCTACTTCGAGAGTGAATCCCGCATAAATATACTGACGTCATTCCTGAAACTTTGCAATGTGTGTGTGGCCGAAAAACAAAGTTCTAGGCTACATTTTAAATGGATTATTGACTAGAAAGCTTGCAAAGAGTGCTCATAACCACTAAAAAGCTGTCACTCTTTGTTTAGTGAGTGTACACGATGTATTATAACATACATCGTTCCGCAAACACAACCTCCCCCCAACACATGTTTTTTGAACATTAAAGCATGTCAACATATTCTGTTACACCAAATAATGATCTTTAAAATAGCATCATATGACCCCTTTAAGATATTTATGATGGAATCTGACAGCTCTCTGACCCTCCCATAGACACAAGGGTACTGCCACGATCAACGTCCAGAAACATAGCAAGGAGATCGGTAAAATAATCCATGTGATATCAGGGGTTCAACCGTAATATTACGACGCTATGAGAATACTTTTTGTGCGCAAGAGAAAAAAAAAACGACTTTATTCAACAATTCGTCTCCTCCGCGTCACCCTAGAGCCATTTTGGAGAGTATACCGCTTTTGGCCCGACGGTGGAAACGCGACCAATATTTACTGAGCTTTGATCACTGATGAACTGAATAATTCAAAAATAGTTAAAAGTTCACTATTAAAAAGAATAGCTGAACATAAGTTCACAGATCAAATATATTGTTGAAATTGTTACTGCCTTCAGTTATTATTTTGGAATAAATGTCAAATGCTTAAAAACGTTAACTTGATGAGATTCATACTTGGCTTTAATAAACAGAATATTGATTACATTGTTAATGTAAAAATATAAAATATAATTGTTTTTTTGTTGTTGCTGATTTCTGGTAGTGTAAATAATGTTTATTTAACCAAGAACATGCGACTTGGACAGGAATTTACATTTGATATTTAAAAAATATCGTTTCAGAACACCACCGCACACCACTTATAAATATATATATATTGACGTAAACTACATTGCCCATGAACCCTTGCTGCAGGCTCTAAATCTGCTCTCAGCTTGTTTCCTAATCTAGTCGTCTACTAAACCTAGCATTGCGTGTGTGTGTGTGTGTGTGTGTAATTATTATTTACTTCAGCGGTTTTTGTAGTAAACTACATTACCCATGAACCCTTGCTGCCGGCTCTAAATCTTACAGGAAATCGCATGGATTTATCAACATCTCTGCTGCTCCTAAACGTCACATGTATGTTCACCTTTAGCATATGAACGCATTAACTCTGATTACCTCGTTGATATTGAAACTAAGACTCTGGACTGTGAGTTTTATTCTCAGATGAGACAGATGGCGTGAAACAGATGGGCGGAAAATAGGACACGCAAATACAACGAGACGAACGCGCTTGTGCGTATAGAGAGACGCGTAAAGAGCGGGGAATGATGGTGGATAACCGGCACGCCACAGCTCTGGTCATCGCCGGGGTTTTAAGCGTCCTGGCCTCCGTGTATCTGTCGGTGTCGATCGGCTCGCCGCACTGGTACCGGTACACGAGCCCGCCGGTGCGCGCGGAGCCCAACGCCACGGAGCTGCGCGCGCTGCAGGACGAGTTTCTGGAAGGAGACTTTGACGAGAAAACCGTGAGCGACGCGCTGTTCCGCATGAACGGGACGCTCGGACTGTGGTGGAGATGCATTCAGACGCCCACTGACGCGCACTGGTACAGAGAACCCGGTAAATGTGTTCATTTACACCATCAGCACGAGGTTGCTGTTTATCGGAATGATTATTTTGATCGCTGTCTCATGATTTTATTCACATTTTTGTTAAGAGCGTTCTTGTGCATTCATATTGTGTTGTCTGTGTTTTTCAGATCCAAAGATGATGATGGAGTGTGTGAGTTTTACTCTCTCGCAGCAGTTCACTCCAAAATACAAAGAGCCTGGAAATCACAACAGTGGAGAAGATATGATACGAACCTGTGAGCACACACACGCACTCACACTCACACACACACGCACACACAAACACACTCCCACACAAGCACACACACACTCGCACACACAAGCACACACACACTCTCACACACGCACTCGCACTCACACAAACATGAACACACGCACACACACACACACAAGCACGCACGCACTCACACTCACTCACACGCATGCGCACTCACACACACACGCGCACAAGCACACACACACAAACACACAAGCACTCTCACACGCGCACAAGCACACACACACACACACAAGCACTCTCACACGCGCACAAGCACACACACACACACACAAGCACTCTCACACGCGCACAAGCACACACACACACACACAAGCACTCTCACACGCGCACAAGCACACACACACACACACAAGCACTCTCACACGCGCACAAGCACACACACACAGACACACACAAGCACACTCCCACACAAGCACACACACACACACTCTCTCTCACTCACACACACACACACTCACACTCACTCACTCACACACTCACTCACTCACACACACACGCGCGCACACTCACACGCACGCACAAGCACACACACACACACACAAACACACTCACACACACAAGCACACACAAACACACTCACACACACAAACACACACACACACTCTTGTATCTGTTTTTCTTTGTGTAATTTATATATATGTAATTCATCCTTCGGTTGCTCTGAATACAAGTCAAATGTTTGAAACTCTGCAGATCTGTGGCGGTGTCAGCTCCTGCTGCCGCTGGTCTCTCTGGGTCTGGTGGTTCTTGGTGGTTTGCTGGGGTTCTGTGCGTGTCTGTGTGGCAGTCTGAGCCCGGCGCTCTTCATTGGCCTTCTTCATCTGCTGGCAGGTCAGAGATGCTTGTCAGTTCATCTGGATGGTGTTGTATCTTCATCACTGAGGAGGTTTTGTGCTGGATTTGAGATGTTTTCTCTCCTCAGGCCTGTGTTCTCTGGCGACCGTGTGCTGTTTTCTGGCCGGGATGGATCTGCTGCACCGTGTGTCTGTGTTGCCGGATCACGTGGGCGGTGCGCTGGGCTGGTCGCTGTATCTAGCGCTCATCGCGTCTCCTCTGCACATGATGGCCGCTGCGCTGCTGGTGTGGGCGGCTCGCAGCCACAGTCAGAGCTACTACCGCATGACTGTCTACAGAGTCGCTTAAATCAGCGGAGCGACTGCCATGGATCAGATCCAATCAAACAGAAAAAATCTAAAATGAACAGTGACACTGAATCTATTGTACATAAATGTGGTCAGTGTGTTGAAGAGCGACACCTGCTAGTCTTGTTCTGAGAACGTCAGATGCACTTTCAAGAGATAATGAGCCCTTAATTCTGGAGAAATCTCTACAAGTGTGTGTGTGTGTGTGTGTCAATCCAGATTCATGATGGGAGGGTCCAAAATTCACACTTTGCAACACCTCCTGGGGGATAAAAAGACAAAAACAAAAATGTACCGACCATAAACTGTATTTTGCATGTTTTTGGGTTGATGTTTTGTCCCTGTGACATTAGGATAACCATTTCTCTGATGGCGAATTGTCCACTGAGTAAGTCATGACAGATTCTCTAACGGAAGTTTATTTAATAAATAGCTTTTGGATAGATTTTTAAACATTTTTACTTTTACATTTTTAGTAAATGCAGTTCATAATAACATTATCTGCAAACCGGCAAGTAATTGTTTTTACACGGGATGGCCCGCGTTTGGCGAGTGCTTTGGACCCTGTTGCAGGTGTAGCGTGACTGTCGCTGATGTTTTTATGCATAACTAGTTGTGTGTAACTGATAAATAAACAGCAACAGAATCTAATCTAAACTCCAGCAACAGCACTCAAAACCAAGAACTGAAGCGTATGTGTTTTATAGTTTAAGCACTGATAAACTTTCACTCAGTGTTTGTGACGCATGCAATCTGTGATTTCAGATTTACACTATTAGAAACGTCAAACAGCTCGACTTCTTGTGTTTTAGCTTTAGTGAAGCAGCACGAACAGCCAGTGATCTTAGTGTGCTGCTTTTAAATGTATTAATGTTATTTATTACTATAATTCATATTTATATATGTATTTCTGTACAGTACATTTATTTTTGGTAATTGCTAACAAGCTACATGTGTGATGATGTGTCAGTGCTTGTTGATGTGGATTCTGCTTCATTTGTCACACTAGAAATGAAAGGTCATGTCAGGTGCATTATGGGATACAGTGTCTCTCTGATCTGTTGTGTAACTGCACAGACTGACCAGTGTAGTTGGTGATCTGTGTGTCCATGCTAATAAAAACATCATCTGTGCACTATTTACCAGGAGGCCCTGTAGTAAAAATAACAAATAACCAATTTCACATGGATGGCCTGCTGTTTTCAAAGGGCCACATTCTGTCACAATGTGACAAACTACACACTGATTTTACACCAGAATCCAAAGTCCAGGGATTTTCCTGTTCTTTGACACTGTCTTTGTTCTGCACTTGTTTTGTAACTGATGCTTTCTCTTGTTCTGCACTTGTTTTGTAACTGATCCTTTCTCTTGCTCATTTATGTGTGTGGGTGTGTGTGTGTGTGTGTGTGTGTGTTAGATCTTACTCTACACCGGATCATCTGAAGAGGCGGCGCTGAACAGGCATCATCGATCGCTCACAGGCGGCTCAGTCGAGCAGTGACGTCGTCGAGCGCATGAAGATGGCGGATCCGAATGCAAAACAAACCGGGCAGAAAAGGTAAAAATGTTTTATATACAGCAGTTTGTCATGTGTTTATGGACACATCTCGCGAATGCAGCTGCAACTATGCCTATAATGTGGTACAGACGTTTGTATGTCATTAAAAATCAAAACAAATCCATATTAAATCGGACACACCCGGACAAACGTCATATTGAAATTGATATTAATAAATGATACCTGCATATCTATTAACATGCATTATTAATGATCTAAGAGGAAAAGACCAGCAGCAGTTTCATTTACATTTATGATTATATGTTTATAATCGGGATGTTGGTGCCAAACAGCTCAAAGTCATTTCAGATTAATCATCACTGTTTATTCATGATCGAGAGTAAAAGTGTAACTTTGAAGATACAGTTTGCAGATTTCATTGTGTTTGTCTCCTGATTGTAAGTGAGTCAGTCAGATGCTCCCTACTGAGGGCCCTTCAGGTGATCACATGATTATGTGCATGTGGAGGATGAGTGTAATCACACAGTTAATTCTTTCTCACATTAATTACCAAGAGCGAAGCCTCTGGCGTGATGATCACATGTGTTTAGCTGCTGATGCCGTTGTTCTGACATGTAATGCTTCCTATCAGATTATGCTACCAACACTGTATTTATCCGACTGTAAGGGTAGGTTTAGGGTTGGGGTAGGTGTACATGTTAATAAAGCCTCACACCTTATTAATATCATGCTGGAAGCAAAATCTGATAGGTAGCACAAATCGACAGAACACCGTCTCTGTGCTGCAACACTTTCTCCAGCAGTCTGTACATGATCAGAAATATTCGATGAGATGTTTTAAGACGTGTTTTCTCCGTGGAGCTGATGCTGTGTGTGTTTCAGTGTGAAGACGTGTTTTCTCCGTGGAGCCGATGTTGTGTGTGTTTCAGTGTGAAGACGTGTTTTCTCCGTGGAGCCGATGTTGTGTGTGTTTCAGTGTGAAGACGTGTTTTCTCCGTGGAGCCGATGTTGTGTGTGTTTCAGTGTGAAGACGTGTTTTCTCCGTGGAGCTGATGCTGTGTGTGTTTCAGTGTGAAGACGTGTTTTCTCCGTGGAGCTGATGCTGTGTGTGTTTCAGTGTGAAGATCGCGATGGGGGCTGTCGTGTGTGTGGAGAGCGACATCAGAGGAGACGTGACCATCGGTACATCCCTTCATTTCACTCAAAATAAAGCACTACAAGCTTTCCGTCTCAGGAAATAATGCGTTTTTTGTTTATAGAGTGATGAAACGCATATCTTTTATTATGGATTATAAAAACAGACAGTTGTGTTCCTGTCCTCTGATTGGCCGGTCCAGTGTTGCTATAGTAACGGGGACATGACATCACTGGATCTGCTAGTGCAGGACAATGAAATTATGAACATTTGTGTTAATATGTTTATGTAGAAATCGTTTGATCTAAGCGATTAGACACTTTAGCTGCTGTGACTGAAGAACTAATAATCATGATCTGCTGTCTGAAAGAACGGTTCTGGTCTGGTTTCAGGAGCCAGGACCGTGGTTCACCCGAAGGCGCGGATCATTGCAGAGGCCGGACCCATCGTGATCGGAGACGGAAACCTGATCGAGGAGCAGGCCCTGATCATCAACAGGTCATGAAGATTCTCACATCGTTACAAACTCATTAAGACTTCTGTTCGTCTTGCAAACACAAATGAAGATGCTTTGAATGAATCCTCAGATTTCTGTTCTCTCCTTTGAAAGTCCATTCACCACTTCAAATAAGTTCATAAAGACTTCGTTAAAGTAAAATGGGATGATATAATAAGTCTTCTTAACAGACACTAGTGTTGTCACGGTACCAAAATTTCAGTATTCGGTACCAATACCAGTGAAAATCCATGGTTCTCGGTACCAATTTCGGTACCAAAGCAAAACACAAAAACATGCTAATTGAACAACATTTTTATTAATAATGTTAAACAAAAATTAAATGTACAAAACTAATGCCATTCTTTATACTTACTTAAAATTGTTTCAAGTTTTCCCACAAGTAATAAAATTATGAAAAAAGTAAACAAGTTTCACCCAAAAGTTTAGTCATAGTTCTGCTCCTGGTACCGTAACGTTTTCATTTTTTTAGTACCGACTTGGTACCGAAATACCGGGTCTTTTGACAACACTAATCTAAGCACAGGGTCTAAAGCGCACGGCGCAGCTGCACTTAGTGTCCGAATCCACTTTTGCTAGTTTAGCGACGGGAAAAACACATGGTCTACAAGTAACGTGCAATAAACCAATCGGAGTCTCATCTCCCATCCCCTTTAAAGGCCAGTTGCGCTTGTCCTTGGCGGATTCGCTGTTTACACGGCAGAATTAGACTGAACGCTTCTCCAGAGAGGAAAGCTTCCATCTGCGGGGCACAATAATAATATCTTTCATTTTTAGTATCTGGTGTGTTTGTGTGTGTGATAAGCAGAGTGTAGGCTCATATTACTAACGCGCTCTTTAATTAACAAAGAAAATATTGCACCATTGACTTTAGACCAGGTTTCAGTTGCCTCAAAATAGCACACCTGGTTTTCAGAGCAGCACGCCCATGAGCACACAAATCAGCACAGGTGCAGGACGTGAAAATGATAACTGCGTCGGGCTGAAACTAGAAAAAACACTTGCGCCGGGTGCTTGATAGGGCCCTATTTTTCAGAGCTTACACTACAGTGTTTTGTGATCTTGTAATGGTTCTGTTGCTGGAGTAATCCTGTTTGCATCTCTCTTCTACTACAGGTGCGTATCGGTGGGCGGGGCTAATGTAGAATCAGTGGACGGGGCTAAAGAGGCGGAGTTTAGTCACACTATTACATCATAAAGTGCACGTTCCAAAACAAGCCGTTTTCTGAGCTTGGTTTCAATAAAAGCTGTTTTTAGACTAACGAGAAAGTTTTGAGTTTTGAAACTTGCAGGATGTTTTTGTAATACCTTGACCGGTTAAATGTCAAAAGATCAAGGGAAATTTTATTTCTTAGTTCATGACCCTTTTAATTTATTATTATGAGCAGATTTTATTCTCGTATAAGTTATGGGTTTGGGACGGCGTGAGGGTGAATATATAATGACAGAAACATCATGCGTGTGAAATCTCGTGGCGTTTGTGTGCAGCTATCCTGAAAACATGCTTCCAGACGCCGAGGATGTCGAACCCAAAACCATGAACATCGGGATCAATAACGTCTTTGAAGTCGGCTGCGGTACGTCTTCATTTCAGCAGACCGTCGGCTCAACATGAAGCTTCTCTCAACTAATGTAACTTGAATTTGTTTTCAGTGTCTCAGGCCTTGAAAATCGGGGACAACAACGTGATTGAGTCCAAAGGTGAGAGCGCGGTGTCTGAAAGGATGGAGTAGCGCAGGTAAAGCGCCGCTGATGTGTGTGATGTGTGTGTGTTCAGCTGAGGTCGGGAGGAACGTGATTTTGACCAGTGGGTGTATCGTGGGAGCGTGTTGTGCGGTGAACACCTGTGAAGTGATTCCAGAAAACACCGTGATCTACGGCTCCGAGTGTTTGAGACGCGTGCAGACCGAGAGACCGCAGGTAACACACACACACCGTGTGTTTCTGATACACCTGAGAAACCTGCTGCTATTCTGACCGTCTCTGTCCTCTCTAGCCTCAAACGCTGCAGCTGGACTTCCTGATGAAGATCCTGCCCAATTACCATCATCTGAAGAAGACCGTGAAAGCAAGCTCCACTCCGGCGAGAAGCTGAAAGCAGCGCAGCCGAGGATCTCAGATGTAACGAGATCATGAGCACAGATCTGTTTCCTTTGGTCGCTGCATGCGATGTTTCGGTATTATAGTGTCGTTGGTTGTGTTGTAAGTTATTGATGACACATTAAATACTCTTTCATATGTAGCAGGTGTCTCACTCTCTGTTTCTTGTGTTCTTTCATTTCTTCTCCACATGGTGGCGCCAAATCTACACGATGACAGAAGAAGCGAGTTAATGAAATGTGTTATTGTTATTGTGGCACATGCATGTTTATTCAGCAGTTTAAAGGTTGTTGTTTTGAACATTATAGTTCTGATGATCGCTGATTATATAGAAAACATAGGTTCTCATTTGATTGAATATGACAGTGTGTATAAATAGCAAACAAGCGAGTCTGTGAGCAATAAAGGGCAGGTTAATCTTGAGACAGGTGACCTTTGCATCGCGCTTTGAATTGAACTTCTGATGTGAATCGACACTTACTCTGCATTATTTCTGTACACTTTAAACATTATGGGTGTTTTTTTTTTTCCTGTTAGAGTAATATTTTAAATGTTTGTGGGAAACTTCTAATTCATATCACGAGCAGCATTTTATAAATGTATCACTCACCATTTGTTAGACAAGAGATGAAAAGAGTTTAACATTTTAATGGGTTGCACTTTATTTGGATGTTCCACATTTGCATGACTAGTTGACACTTAGTTGCAAAGTTATTTATAGGTAGTTGAATGGCTAAAGTGGAATATCAGAATAAAGTGTTAGTTTTTAATGTCAAACGTTTCAATGAAAATGAAAATGAGTTTTCCTGTAAATCAAGCCTCTATGACGCACCAGAACAGAGACGTGCTCGAGCTCAGGAGTTTAATTTCATATTTCTGCCCCAGAATGAACAATACCAGCAGCTCGGAGGAAGAGGTGAGTTACTATTTACTTAAGAATAATGAAAATCATCAACTCAATGATGGTAGCTAATTAATGGATGCTGATTTTAATGACACGCTTCAGTACTGCGTGTGAGTGATCAGATCTCAGTCGTTTCTCACGTGAGTTTCTGTATTCTGACACGAGGAACACTAATCTACAGAAAGTGAAAACTCTGAAGTGTTGTGTGCTGATGATGTAGAATAGACTCGTTCAGAGATGTTTCTCCTGCAGTTTCAGCATCAGCTGCACCTGTTTCTGGTTTTTCTGCAGGTCAGGACTCAAACCCAGAGAGCTTTACCTGGTATTCAGGCCTTTTCAGGTGCGTGGAGAAGTTCATGTGTGTTGGATCTGAATCCGTGAGACAGACATTTAAATGTGTTTTCCTTACATTACTGAAATGAAGTTACTGTCAACATGAACTGCGTTTCATTTTTGATTCTCTTCATTAGGGTTATGAAGGCTCCTTAATCAAAGTTACCTGTAAGCAGGTGAGAAATATCAATGATTCCTCCAAGTAAATGAATCACGAGTATGTAATGCATATTATACCTACATGACTTATTAATATTCTCACTGGACCCTTTTTACTGTTCCAGGGATTTCTAAAGTGGTCATAAAATCATCCTAAACTGTGACGTACTCCGCTGTTATATTAGAAGCACAGTCACAGCGATGTTAACTAGATAAAGAAGGTCGTCCAGACTAACTTTGATGTTGGTTTGAGAAAGCCATGCAGTCTATCAGACAGAAGGAGGTGTTCTGCATGGTTGCTAAGAGTTTGACATCAGCCTCTCAAAGCTTTTCATTGCAATGGGGGTTAATGCCACAGTAAGACAACTGTACAATTTCTTTGTGATTAGTTGCACTTTATTATTTGCATTTATCATTGTTTTCCCTGATATCAGTGACCCATCAGAACAGACCTGAGAACCATCTGAGAACCACTGCTGTAGGGATCATGAATGAGATGAAAAAGCACACATCATGTCAAGCTCATATCATAAGAGTGTGATGTGAGGATGAGATGGATCCAGCACGTTTGCTATAATGATGTTTGTTCCTCTTTGTCAGGGCGTTTGCTTTGACCTGGATATTCCCCAGACTTTACGGCTGGAGTTGGCCAAAGCCAACACCAAGATGGTCAAGAACAACTAGTAGGAATGCTAAACCCTTCGGCATCCAGACAGAGTCCTGCACCTCTGTGTCAGTCGAGAGCCCTGTGAGTAAAACACACTACAACTAGATCTAAACCTGATCTATTCTGACTGCAGTCTTACCCAAACTCCCAAAGAGCCTGGAACCACAAAACATCCTGCAGATCTGAGATCTGTCTACTGATTTCCAGTACATTTTGCTTATCTGTCAGGATGAACTAGGAACTTCACCAAGCAATAGTAGCATGACCAAATCAATTTGAATATTTTAATACCAAAAAATATAATCGCCTGTGACACACATTTGTGTCATCACTCTTTATTTTATTTTGGTTTAGGACCTTCACATATTAAATAATTTGTGTGAACGGCTCTCAGATGCCTTAAACGAATCCAAGATACCTGCTAAGAAATCAGTTCAGCTCTCCTGAAGCCTGTATTCATTGTCAGTGTGTTGCTCTGTCGTGAGCACAGATCGAGCTTCTCAGATATTCTCCATTGACTGTGAGTGTGGACACATACGCTCCACCTAGTGGGCCTTTAGTTTCTGAGGCTCAAATCACTGCGCTGTTGTCCACATGGACACAAAGATGGGACTGAACGGAGACGTGTGTGTGGACATAAGGACTGTCCTCAAGCTGGAGCTCAGGGGAAGTTTAAGGCACAATGCAGCACACAGCAAACTCACGGTCTCCTGCTGTTTGTGCAGATGAGTTGAGTGTTCCTGCGCTGTACACCAGCAGTCCTGAGGTGTGGGCTTCATACCTGCTGTACCCCGCTGAGCTGCCTCCACCAGCATACGCCTTCAGCTCCTCGCTGCACGCTCAGGTAACACACCGACGCCTTTGTGCATTAAACAGCAGCGGGAATGGCCACAATATGGGAGTATAAACACTCAGTTATATAAACGTTTCGGTCATGAATGCTGCTAATTTATTAATGGGGACGTCAGATGCCATTTTCCACAAGTTGGTGTGATTCTTTATGGTCTTCATGAAATGTCTGCAACATACTTTGGTTAAAATTTCTCAATGGTCGTATAAAACAACACCCTTTTTACCTTGTCAAAAACAGCTCTGATCACAGCGAGCCGTTTCGGTGCATGTCTCTTTAAAGGGCACCTATTATGCAAAATCCACTTTTATATGGTGTTTGGGCATAAATGTGTGTTGGCAGTGTGTGAACACAACCTCCCTACAATGATAAAAATCCACCCACTCTTTATTTTTTAATAAACCAAATCCGTCTCATTAGACCTGCCGTTTTGATTTGCTGAGCAGTGTGATGTCACATTGTTTAGGCCCCGCCCACAGCTGCTGACTGACAGTCCTGCGTTACCGTAGTGTCCGCGCTCGGCGAGTTGTGTTTGGTTGTACGCGCTCGAGTCGCTGTAACGTCAACAATGTCTCGTGAGCAATCCTGTGTTCTGTGTTTGGATGTAAAAGTGAACATAAGAGTCTTAATTTTCTCCCAACATCAGAGCCACTGAGGACGCAGTGGACTAGTTTTGTTTTTGAAGGAAATACGCCTCAAAATCATGTCGTTATAGTGCTTAGCTAATGGTTGAACCATATCTGTCGTTTCGTTAAAGTGTATAGCGAACGTTATCGCAGTATTTGTGTGTGTGTGTTGCTCATCTGTCGTTGCAAATGGGCTGTGAACACTCTAAATGTACATATGTATCAAATGAATGTATCAAATAACCATTCAGAGACGTCCTGGTTCATTCTCCATCATCTGTGTCAGACTCCGTTTCATTCATGTGCGGCTGAACACCGGTTCTCTCGCTCTCAGTCATGTTTCTAACGGCTGTTTATTGCTGTAGGTATGCAAAGCAGAGATGTATACACCACGCCCTCTTCTGAAGACGGGGCGGGGATATGCAGCTGATTTGCATTTAAAGTGATACAGACCAAAACAGCTCTTTTTTAAGCCCCAAAAATGGCATTTTCCACATGTTATAATAAATGATCTGTGGGGTATATTGAGCTGAAATTTCACAGACACATTCTGGGGACACCGAAGACTAATATAACATCTTGTAAAAAGGGGCATAATAGGTTCCCTTTAAATGATAATGAGCTCTGCTGACCCTGCCCCTCTCTCCCGTTTTTGTGTATTTGGTGGTGCATTATCATCAAAAACAAAACTAATCCACTGCGTCCTCATTGGCTCTCATGTCGGGAGAAAATGAAGACTCTTATGTTCACTTTTACATCCAGCTTTGCACCTGCATTGCTTACGAGACAGTAGGTGTGTTCGACTCGAAGCGGTGCTTCCGGAGCCGTCTGCTCTCTCTGTAGCTCTCACTTTGATGTCAAACACCGATCGGACCGCGCAGCGCTGCTTCGAGTCGAACACACCTCTATTGCTGTCGCTGTAGCTGCTCGAGCGCGGAGAAAACGGCGGACAGGGCGGAGTTATGCTAATGCAGGACAGTCCGTCAGCGCTCGTGGGCGGGGCTTGAGCAGTATGATGTCATACTGCTCAGAAAATCAAAGCGGCTTGAATATTGAGACTTTAGGTTTTTTGGGGATTAAAAAAAGGATGGTTGGGTGGATGTGTCCACACACTGCTAACACACATTTATTGCAAACAGCATGTAAAAGTGATTTTTGCATCTGATTTACCCTTTAAACAAAAGCATCTGCACTATAAAGATCAAAGGTTGAAAGATATATCTCCAAGGCATTTTTAATGATCAGATTCAGCAGAATATTATTTAAATATGCGATTGTCTCTCCTTAAACTCTGCAGTAGGCCCATAGGCTACGTGACCGTTGGTCCTTTATAGAAGCATTAAAAACAAAACTTATAAAATAGGCTACAGAAAGCAAGCAAAGAGTGCTTCCGAAGCTGTCATTAACTTCAGCTGCTGCGCGGATGGCTATAATGTGCAACGCTGCAAATCGAATTGTAAATAGAAATCTCTGACGGTCTTCAGACTGCAGCGTGCACACGAATAAGCTAGACGTTTGCGTCAATAAGGTTAAAGTCTTTCGTTGGTCTGTTAATTCTGCTAAACTTCAATTACTAAAACTAAAACTGAAACTAAACTATATAAAAACCAAATAGAAATGTGTTCACAAACTAAAAACTACACTAAAACTAACAAAATTATTATTGTAACTAATAAAAACTAAACAGATTTTTTTTTATTGGAATAAAACGAGTTTAAAAATGCAAAACTATAATAACCTTGCTGCAAACCTGTGCGTGTGAACAGAAATGGAGAAGCAGATGATCTGCCTCCAGTGTTTGTGTCAGATTCGCTGGCTGCCGACCGTTCTGTTGACGTCTGTGTGAGTATAAGTGTCCTCATAAACCATATATCCAAGCACACGCAGAGTAAACACAAGATTTCTACATTACACGCCTGTGGAAAATGACTCCATGAACACCCTCAGCTCTCCTTAACACCTTACTCTCCCGTCTGTCTTCTGCCAGATACAGATGCCTGAAACCAGAAACAAGAAGTGAGAGACTGTTATGTAAGTGATAACATTCAATCAGCCGCTCATCGTCACTAATGAAACCCCAGAGCTGTTTATTACACAGCTGCATGGATGTGAAATATTGCCTTGAGTATGAATTATCTTGTGATCTACAGGAACGAGGTCATGAAATGAGCACAGCGATGTAGGAAATACTAGTGTCATGAATGTAAGAGTCTCTCGCGTGATAACTGCGTACACAGACAGATCACTGCTGAAAATAAGATCTACTAAAATTAACTCAAGTCACCTTTATTTCCATAGCGCTTCAATACTGATCGAACTGTTAAAGCAGCTTTACAGAGTTAAACAGGGAAACAGTTTGTCATTAATGCAGGAGGACGATAACAAACAGTCAGTTTATCAGCTAAAGTCAGTTCATTGATGATTCAGTGATCATCCTCCAGTTCAGCTCTCTTCAACAGTGTCTGTGCAATCAGTCAAGCGTCCACCACTAATCAAGACAAAGGCCACAGCGGCCTGAGGAATAATCACGGTTATCATGATTATTATGCATTCATTAATTACACAACACTACTAATGCATAAAATCACATGAACACTTAAAAACACACGTGTTATTTTTAAAGTGTTATTTATTGCTGCCTTTTGAAACAGTAACCAAATAATACAGCAAATAATAAAGAAAAACAAGTCCATCCCTCCCTTTGGAATGAAAAAAGGTGACCTCTGCTCTGTAAACATACACGTATTTCTCTTTTGAAAATAAATGCAAATAGATCACAAAATGATTTAGTGTTTTCAGAAAGCATTCTTTCTACATTCCTTTGGACCTGAGGTAGAGAACTCGGAAACATGGTGGGAAACATATCTTGTTGATTTTTGACTTATACATAATACTGTAACAGGGATAACAAAATCACAAAGTTAATTAAGTATTATAATTAATATAAGACTAATATTAACTTTATTGATCCCCCAGGCGAAACTGCTACTAATGAGGGGAATTAACTGAACTGTTATTGTCACTATCATCCATGCATATTCATTTTAATAATTCAGATAGCACACCTAGGTTCCTAACTGATGACGAATAATTAACAGAGCAGCCAGGTGTTAGAATCACTAGTAACATAATCTTTAAAATATGTACTAGTGCATTTGATGGAACTCTTATTTACTTGTGACAAGAATAATCTTAAACACATATACAATAAATGATACAGTAACATGTTGCTGAAGATATTCACCATAATAAGTGTTTGTGCATCTGTACTAATGATACAATCACAAACAATAGATTTGCTAGTCCATGAATCTGACCTGTAGTCTGTTCCTGTCACTCGTACTCTTAGCTCTGATCTCAGGCTGCTGTGAACCACAGAACACAAGAACAGACCTCTCTCTCCTGGACGTCCCTTCTTACATTGTGTGTCAACTTTATTATAGTTAATATATGTATGAACTATGATCATTTATAATGTTATTCTTATTGGTTCAATCAATAATTACTGTAA